ATGACCTGAGCCGAAGTCAGATACCCAGCCAACTGAGCCACCCAGGCGCCCCTGCTGTCTCTCTCTCTTTTTTATGTTTATTTATTTATTTTTATTATTATTTTTAATGTTTTCTATTTATTTCTGAGAGAGAGTGTGTGTGTGTGTGTGTGTGTGAGCAGGGGAGGGTCAGAGAGAGAGGGAGACACAGAATCCGAAATAGGCTCCAGGCTCTGACGTGGGGCTTGAAGTCAGGAACCGTGAAATCATGACCTGAGCCCAAGTTGGACACTTGCTTAACTGACTGAGCCATCCAGGTTCCCCTCTCTTTTTTAGAACCTGGCAAAGACCTCTCTGTTAGCAAGGGTATGTGTCCTTTCCTGTCATCTTCTGGGTCTGAGCTGTTACTGTAATTCACTCAGCTGCATTTCACAGTAGAGTGGGTATTTGTAATTTTGGGCTACTTAGCCTCTAAACTCCCTTGAATCCTTTGCCCTGTAAGTCTTGGAGTAAGTTAAAGCCTGCCTCTCAGTATAGGAATCAAATGCCAATCACACAGTTTCTCAGTATCCTTGCAGCAAAAGCAGGATCACATGACTAGGCTCAGCCAATCACGGGGGATTTTGATGCACGGAGGCCTTTGACTCAGAGGTGTAGGGCCAGTGAAGAATCCTTTCTCGTGACAGAGATGGCAGTGGCCATACCTAATTTCTGGGGCTAGGTTTGATGCTAGCAATAGTTGGGGGTATGAGTTGTGGTGATCCTTCCTCAGCAGTAACAGCTGTCTGAATACACTGCCAATAAGTTCTCTGTATGTTTAAGTCAGCCAGATTGGTTTTGTTGATTACAAATGAGAACCCTGCATTGTCCACTTAGTGATGGTTTAATACCAACAATCCCACCATAAAGAAATCTTGTTAGACAAACTGAAGATCTCTATAAATTTTTTTCATCTTTATTTATTTTTGAGAGAGAGAGACAGAGGGCAAGTAGAGGAGGAACAGAGAGAGAGAGACACACAGAATCCAAAGCAGGCTCCGGGCTCTGAGCTGTCGGCACAGGGCCCGACATGGGGCTCAAACTCACAAACTGTGAGATCATGATCTGAGCTGAAGTCGGACGCTTAACTGACTGAGCCACCCAGGTGCCCCCAGGTCTCTTTAGATCCAGCCACATTCGGGAGCTGACCCAGCTACGAGCCTGCTTCCTCAAGATACGGCCCCCATTGTCCTTTTCAGCCCAACCCTCATATCTCTGTGCTTTGGCCATGATCCCATCTGAATTCTTTCAAAGAGTTGTGCCCTTTCCTTCCTGCCTGGCTTTGCATCTGTCGAATGTCCTCTCCTGGAATGCGGTTATCATCCTTCCCCTAAACTGCTGACAAGGTCCCTCCCTTCTGCATCCCCTCTGGCTCATGTCCAGTCCATTCTTTACACAGTGACCAGAGTCATCTTCCCAAAATGCATGTCTAAGTATGTCACCACTCTGCTTAAAATCTTGCAAAGCTTCTTCATTGGTCTTTAGATGCAGACCAAATTCCTTAACATGACCCTCCAGGCCCGGCATGGTCTGGCTCCTGCCTACCTCTTCAAGGCTACTGGGAGACACTGAAGAGGTAGATGTCTGGGACTGGCTTGATATGGATCAAAGGAGGCAAAGGAGAAGTTAAAGATGATATCTAGACTTCTGGTTGGGGCAGAAGTAGGGAAGCTCCTTAGCTTATTAATCTTTAACATCTCAAAGGCATGCATCAGTCAGCCTCACATCCTTTGTTGAACAGGGAGCTAACAACATCTGCCCACTCACCCGCTCACTCCCTCTTCAATCTGACCTTCAACTACCTGACCTGCTAAGCAGAGGCTTTAGGTTAGAGCTGTAATACTACCTTTTATTTGCTATGTCCTTGGCTTAGGCACTTTCTCTCTTAGAGCGTTTTTTAATTTTCATCGATAAAACAGGAGTAATACTTCATTTCTCTCTTTCTCTTTTGCTAAAGACTTCTTACTGTGAGTGGTAAACTTCAGGCATGTGACTGGCCCAGGCTGGGTCATAGTTGGAGATGACCATCTCCTATGAGCCTCAGTAGTAGAATCTATTTGCCTTGTAGAAAGACTAGACTGGTTTTCAGATAGAGGATGTATAACAAGTGGGTTGAGATAGGAAGGGGGGACCTCGAGAGCTCTCAATCATCAGTGCCTTTGAAGAAATGTGCACAAAGTGGGGAACAAACAGACCTGTCCCAAACCTCAGAGTCATTCTGGGTCTTCCACCATCCACAGTCAGTCCCTCAGCAGGTGCTCTGCCTCCAAATATGTATGAACCCCTTTTCTTTGCATTTCTGCTCCGCCACCATCGTCCAAACCACATTCTGCTCTCCCTTGCCTACTGTGGTAGTGGGGTGCCCTGCCTTTGCTTGTCTGGACCAAGAGATCTCCAGCCAACAGCCAGAGTGACCTTGGAATCAGGTACTGTTTCTCCCCTCCTAAGTCCTCCATTGGCTCCCCAAATTCTTCAGCCCACCTGCAAGCCCTGTATGATCTGCACCAGTGCATCCCTGTTCACCAAAACTCAGGCACCCTGACCTTGTTCCTGGGCTTCAGAAAGGCCCAGCTTCTGTACCTGCTGCTCCTTCTGCCTGGGCAGCTCTTCCCCCAGCTCTCCCTGCACACCACCCATCACTGGGTCCTTACCTGAAGGTTTTACCCAGAGGTCAAGAGCCCATTTCTAAGTACACTTGTCCCCATCACCCTGTTTTATTTCCTTCATAATACTTATTACTGCCTGAAATTAAATTGTTTATATTTATAGAGGTCTCAACATACAGCTTTTACATCATTGTTAATTTTAATTATACTAAGAATACTTAACACTGTCTGAAGAGCCTGATGGGGGTAAAGCAAAAGTACCCCTAAACTCCTCTTCCCCCATCCTAGATCCCTCACCGGAAGGACAGCTCTATTTGTCCTACTGATCACTGATTTGTGAGTTCTGAGAACCATGCATGGCACATCTGACACAGAATTATTGAATGAAGAGGAAATTGAAGGTCAACATCTGGCTCTACTACATACTAGCTTCCCTTAGATGGGAGGTTCTGGAGAAGGGGAGGTCAGAGGCCAAGGCCCATAGCAGGCTATGGATTTGGGTAACTTCTTAGCTTCTCCAAGCATCAGTTTGCTTATTTATAAAACAGGGGAAAAAATTTATCTCCTAGACTTGTGAGTATCAAGTAGTGCCAGGCACACCATTAACTCCCTCATGAAATTTATAGGCTAGAGGGGATGTACTTGAAACTCTGTTTATTGACCGCACAGTCTACCAGTCTGTTCACTGAATCCAGAAGGTCAGAGCCACGCTTTACAAGATGGGCTGAGAAGGGCTGTGTTGGGGCCAGGGTTACCTGATACTGTCTGACACATCTTCCTGGACTGTTTGTTTTCCTTGGAAGTTATTTACAACGTTATGTGTGGTAGTAAACAAAACACAAATGATTTATGGAGTCAAATGAAGGATGTGTCTGAATTTTAAAACCCAGATGCTTTGGTCATCACCACAAGCAGAGCCTTTGAAGAATATATGCTTGGGTTGCTCCTGTGTTTTCTAGGTGGGGAAACTGATGCAGGACCTGGTGTCTTCATCCCATTTAGGGTCCTCTCCAGCTCACACACTGGGCCTCCTGTCACCACACAGGACTCTCATGTGCCCCTTTCAAGATCCCTGGAGAAAGAGCAGGTGGCTTGCTCTCCTTCCCCTGTGGGAGTAAGGGTGAGGCCCAGTGGCCAAGGCCAAGAGGAAAGTCCTGGGCTCTAATCCACATTCTCTTAATTCCTAACACTGCCCAGACCCTGGGCCACCCTGGCTGTCCATCAGCACACCTTCTCAACCACCCCTCTTTCTGGACGTAATTATAGTAATTATACTGGGATATCCTTGCCCACCTACATATGACCAGCATAGGTAACTGCTTCTAAGCATAATTATAGAAGATGTTTACAGACCCACAATCACAGAAGAGTAAATGATGGTTTCCTTTCCTCCCATTAGTATGCCGATATCAAGGCTCTGTTGGGTCCAATTAGCCAAATCGCAGCACTGAGGGGGGTGGGAAAGACTTCACACTCCCCCACTGTGCATGGAGCAGGCAGAGGCCTCTGACAAAGCAGGATCTCAGCCCAGGTTTTCCAGGACACCAAGAAGTCTGCAGACAGATGAGCTAACATCTACTGGGCACCTACTGAGCATCAGGCACTCAGAGGACGCCAGCAAATACCTGTGAACAATTCTGCAAGCTGGTATCTCACTTTCCCTGTTTGGAGCCCTTTTGAGGAGGGCTGTGTCCAGTGTCACCCATAACAGGCCATGAAGCTTGGTAGGGGCCTTTCCATTGTGCTAACCCTCAAGGTCAGACAGCAGGCCAGCTCTAGCTTCTTCCTTATCTCCTGTGCTCAAAGCTTCCTCTTCCTGGGCAGCCACCGCCACCACCCCTGCTGGCCTCGGTCCCCTCCCACCCTCATCAGTTTCCCCGTGTTGACAACTGCCTCCTCCTGCCCCCACGGCCCCCTCTTCCGGTCCCTGTTGGGTTGTCGGGTGTTATCTCTCCAGAAGGGCGGGGAGTTGGGGTGGGGGAGGGTGGAGCAGAGGGCTAAGGTCGGTCCAGACACCCGGGGTCTCAGACAGGCCCCCATCCACACCCTACCAGGAGCGCCGCGGGGAGGGAGCTTGGCCTTGGGGTGGGCCGACCCTGGGCCTCTACCTTCCCCCACACAAAGGATGCCCCCGGTGTGCACGGGGGAGCGCTCCTGCACATACACACAATTTAACAAAGACGTGCATACCGATCCATGACACAAACACATTCCCTAATCGGCCGGCACACTGTCGTGCACACGCACCTCACACTCGCATGTCCACACGCGCACGTATAGACACTCCAGCGTGCGCCCTCACGTACACCACAACACACACACACACACACACACACACACACACACACACACCCCCCACACACACGCAGCTGGGCACACGGCCGGCCGTGCGGACCCCCAACGCCGACCTCGGGGCCCTGACGCGCCCGCCGCCGTGCCCTGGCGCGCACACGCGGGCACACGCGCAGGCACACGCACCCTCCCGCGCTGTTCCACGCCCCTGGCCGCGGCCCGGGCGCTGTGCGGCGCGGCGGGCGGGCCCGGGGCGGGGGCGGCGGCGGCCGAGAGAGCGGAGGAGGCGGAGCAGGGAGCCGGGAGCCGGCTGGCCCGCGCTCCTCCTGCCGGCCGGGGATTTTCCAGCCTGGGCGCTGTCGCCTCGGACCTCCTGCAGCCGCCGCGGACCATGGGCGACAAAGGGACGCGGTGAGTGCGGGCGGCGGCCCGCCGGTGCGCGTGGGGGCGACCTGGGCGAGGGCACAGGCGGGGGTTACTGTCGGTCACCCCGGGGAGCGCCGACGCCTGGCCCCGCGGCAAGCGGCTCTCCTGTGCCCGAGGTCTCCTGTGTGGGTTGCTGGCCCGGCCCAGGGGCCGTGGGCGGGGGTGGCGAGAGGCGAGGACCCGGGCCGCCCCATCTGGCTCGAGGCTTCTTGCCATGGACACACACTCACACACTCACTCGCCGCTGACACCCAGCACTGGCCAGGAGACGCAGAGACGCAAGGGGGCAGGTTGACACACAATGGCACCCACGCTCACATGGACACACGGACACACGCATCCATGGGCACACTCATGCTGGCACACACACTGACATTCACTGCCACACACTGATCACATACAATGACACACTGTCACACACTCAGTGGCACACACTTGTGAACACATTTTTGTACTGACAGTCATGTTGGCATACACAGGTCACACTCCAGCACAGAGCAGTGCTACACCTTCACGCTGGCACACGCATGTGGGCCTACACGGATACACGCATACACTGTCACTTGCACTCACTGTCATGAACACTCTTACTGAGACGCACCCTCACGGACATGAACACTTGTGCTGGCACCTGTCTCCTCAACACAGTGTTTGCAAGACTGTCCCAGCACCGACCCCCGCAGAGACGTCAGACTAATGCCTCCACACGCTGGCACCCCATGGTCACAAGCCAGCAGACCCCGGGTCCGCTGACACACACACTCCAGTCCCCACATGGCAAGAAGTGGAACGCACACATCACACAGGGTGGCAGCCCCCCCCCCGGAGCCTGGGAAAAATGCATCCTAACCACACTGTTTCCTGTCTCTTTGACCTCTGGAGGCCTGGGGTGGCTGGCCAGGGTCTCTTTTAAGCTGGGGTGGAGAGAGGGGTTCCTATCTTCTTAGGAGCTTGCCCTGGCTCAGAAGGGGAGAGGCTGTGTCTGAAATGGAAAACTGGGAGCCAAAAGGAGGAGGAGGTGGGGGTAAGGCAGTCCTTGAAGACAGCCCCTCTAGACCAAGACTAGCCCTGATCAGGCACTCAGGTTTGTCACGCCATCTGTCCCCCTCCACTCTGTCCACTCCGTGAAGTCCTAGGAGAAGCTTCTCCTTCATCTTCTCCCCTTAAGCCTCCTACATCCCCCCTTTTCATTTTTTTCTTTCTCTCTTCTCCCTCTTCTTTCCTCTCTCCCTGTCTCCTTGCTTTCAATAGTTATCTATTGAGTGCCTGCCGTGTACTAGGCGTAGTGTGGGGATCAAAGATGTGCAAGACCGATTCCTTCCCCAAAGGAGCAAATAGGCTAGGGAGAAATGACCCCAGTGGTCATTGCATTTTGTTACCACGACAAATCAATTTCACACCAACTGCCACCTGCCAGCAAGTATTTCCATTCTTCAGAAAAAGAAACTGAGGCTTGGAGGTAATTTAGAAACTGCTTCCAAGCCATGCTCCTGACAGCTCTTCAAAGAGGTTAATTTTCTTCTTTCTGTTTTCCAGAAGAGGAAAGAGAGTGTTAGAGGTTATCTGACTTGCTTAAGGCCAGGAGGCATCAGAAGCAGGACAGAGGCTGGAGTCTACTTGGTCCATTTCTCTGTGGCTTGCCCTTGGGCATTGCCAAGACCTTTGTGGGCCCTGGGCTGAAAGTCAGGGTGGGGTGCACTGCTCCGTGTGTAGAGGCCCAGGCTGGTGGGAGGCTGCAGAAGATCGGGATCTCTCTGCATTCACCTTGATGACTAGTCCTCATTTGCAGCTGGCTGGCCAGCACTGTGACCCGGGTCTCTGTCCTCAGCAGGAGGATGTGTGCCTCTGTCTTCTATGTCCACATCCCCCAAAGCCAAGATCTTCCTCACCTTTGAGGTTAGACTTTTCTCCCTGTGAGAGTTAGGAGCCAAGGCTCCTAGGAGCAAAAGTCTCCTTTGTTCTTCCCGTTCTGCTTCGCCATCAGGGTGACTCAGCCCCTCTTGGGCCTTGGTTTGCCTCTCTGTGACTTGAGGAGTGTCATTGCTCCCCTGCTGACGTAGGTTGTCAGCAGGATGGGGACACGAGGAGCAGCCAGGTACCTGTTGGAGACCTTATCTTTGGGGTTAGGCCCTTTTTCATGACTCTCTGCTTGCCTCCAACTCGCTGGGGGACCTCATACAATTGTCTTCGCCCTTCTGGACCTTAGTTTTCCTATCTGTAAATTGGAGCTGTCAATACTCAAAAAAATGTCAAGGCTCTTTTGAGTTCATTGAATTTGCTGGGCAGGGGGAGGGGTGCTGCCTGAAGCCTGGGGCCCAGGCTTGGCTAAACTTCATTCAATGGATGGTGGCCCTGCTCTTCTCCCCTAACCCCTCTGCCCTCTTCCCCGGAGCCCCAGGAAGCCTCCCTCCCGTTTTCAGACAGGTTTCCTCAGTAATTCAGAAGAGAAGGGCAAAATCAGTAATGGGCTATACCTTGCTTTGTTCCGTAGGCCGTGGGCTTCTACTTCATCTCTGACCTAGAAGAAGAAACTGCAAACATCCAGTACTCTAGATCAGGAGTCACGGCATCCATCTCTGTATCTGGGCTCACTCCCCATATGAAAGTGACAGCAGAATTAGTCGGAAACTGTCACTGTCCCCTAGAAACTCCCAGGGTCAAGGAGGCAGGCGCGGGCGGTGAGACAAATGCCTGGATGAGATTAGTTACAGGCAGGTGGTATGATGACTTCTCCAATAAGGTGCTCTGGGAGCCTTCATACATCCATTCAACAAATGTTGACCGAGTGTCAGAGGCTGGGGCTTCAGAGAGGAATGGCCCCACTGTGTCCCCAAGGGATGTAGAGCAGAGCAGGCGGTTATAATGTAGAGTGACATGTGCCATGGCAGGCCTAAGGAGGAGTCCCCACGCCAGTCCCAGCAGGGGGCATGGTGAGGGAAGCTTTCCTGGGAACCAGGTGGCTTTGGAGCTGCTGAACTTCATCCAGGAGGCCGAGGAAGCTGAGGTGGTGGCACTGGGGACGTCATACCTGGCTGAGGGCAGAGTGTGCGAAGGCTTGGAGGCATGAAGTAACGCATACAGCCTGCGGGTTGGGCAGGCGATGCTGGGTGAGCCTTAAGAGATAAACCCCGGCTAGTCAGCCACAGCCTGTAATGTCAAGCTAAGGAGAGAGGGTTTTCTCCTGAAGTGCGTTGTGATTCAGAGGGGGGTGTGAGGGGAGGGATGGGAGCAGATTTCCCTTTCAGAGGGATGTAGCAGGAGGTGGATGGCAGAAGCAGGGAAACCCCGTGAGGAGGCTGAGGAGGAGCCTGGGAGGAGGGACCTGAGCTAAGGTTGTGGAGAGGAGGCGGCTGAGAACTATGAATAAGGAGGTGGTGTCCGTTAGCCCGGCTGCTGGGGTGTCTGGTGTGCGTCAGGAGACTTACATGCACCATCTCACTTGGTTCTCCCAATGATCCTGTTGATGTAGGGATTGCTAGTCCCTTTTACAGAGGAGGAAACAGACTACGAGAGATGAAGTAATTTGTCCGTTGCCATTCAGCCAACAAGCTTCTGAACCCCAGCCTGTCTGTTCACAGAGCCCTCTGCCGCACGGCGCTTTCATGCAGGAGAGGGCTTGTCTGGCCCACAGTTGGCCTCCCGCACCTCCCTGACAGCTCCACTCTAAAGTTGCGCATCCCTTCTGGTTCTTGCTGGTCCTCCTGACTCACTTGGCAACATGGACAATCAGTTAGGCAACAGGTGGGACTTCCTGAGAGGCAATGGGATGGAATGGAATTCTCTTGCCTACAGATGTTTATGAAGTTTTCTTTGTTGGAAGGGGAGGAGGGTGGGCGTGATGGGGACACGTAATCACCAGCTCTCTGAACCTTGGCTGTCGTCCCCCTTGGCGGTTAAGCTCTGTGTGACCTCTCTTGGCTGCAAGATGGGGAAGTCCTGCGGCTCTGGTCAGGGATGCTTCTGGGGCTGCTGGGAGTGGAAGGGTTGAGTCTGACTTACCATCTCCGGTCCCTGATTCTAGGCTGGCTTCTGGGCTTCAGACTTCTCCACAGCTCACCTCCTTCCAAGTTTGGGCATCCTTGCCCAAGGCTGAAGCTTTCCATTACGTTGGTTCAGGGGGCTTGTTACACCTCAGGGCTGTGACCGTGGAAGGTCAGCAGGCAGGGGGAGCCAACACAACCAGTGTTGGTGGCCCCCTGGCCTCAGCCAAGCCATCCTCCGCTGCTTTCGGAGTGACCGTCTATCTCTCTGAGGCCTGCAGGGAGGGGGTGACTTGGGAGGGAGCCAGACTGGAAGTTAAGGAAGATGTAGGGAAGTTTCTGCATAGATGGGTCAGGATCCTGGGGTAGGGATGGAGGAGGGAGGTGGGGCTTTGAAAGTCTTGGGTTTAGAAGTGGTGCAGGGAAGAGGTATGGTGTGTGAAGAGAGGAGAGTTGGGGACAGCTGAGGCCTTGGTGAGCACTGATGTCTGAGGGGGGAGAGGGGACAGACCTTGGGAGAGGCTCCTGGCAATTGGCCAGAAGGCAGTGGCTAGTGACTTGGTGAGAGGGCTGTTGGTGGAGTGGTGAGGGCAGAGCTGGGCCCCAGAGGCACAGGGACACAGCAGAGGGGAGGACTCTGCTGTTCCTCATGCTTGGAGCTGGGGTGGGCCTCTTGGAGGAAGGGTGTGAGGCCCTGAGCTCAGGGTGGTGGGAACTAGAGGTGTGGGAACCTGGGGGCTCAGGCTCAGCTGAGGGTGGGAGGGACGTTGCAGAAATGTGAGCTGGTCACAGGGGAGGCTCTCTGTACTGGCTCCTGGCATCTGATTCAGGCTGGGGGTCTCGGGGAGGCCTTCCCAGAGGAAGTACACTCTGAGCGGGTCCTGGGGAAGGCCAAGCGATCTAGACAGACCGTGCAGACAGTGAGTGCACGTGAGGGGTGTGGCTGCTAAGGGAGGAGGCAGCCCTGGTGAGGAGGCCTTGGGTGCTGGGATGGGGGAGTTTCCT